ACTTAATTGATCAAGCAACTCTTCAGAGCAATGTAAATGCTATTCAGATAATTTATAAGGAGGAAAGATCATTGCTAATTGATAAAATAAAGTCTATGGAATCATATGTTTCAGAAGAAGATGAAAAATTGTATGATTCCATGAAATCTCTAGACTCCTTTACAACAGAGGAGGTTCAAACACTACAAAAGGCAGTAGTTACTTGATTTCAAACTCTGGAGGAATCTCTCAGTAAAGATAACAAAGAAAATAATAAGCAGAAGGGCAAGGCCATACAAGTCATAACATCACCAGGTGACGCTTATACAATGGCTTATCCTGTCACCATCCTGAGCCATATGTGAAATGTATTTTGCAACCTATTCATATGAGAGATTTAAAAATATTAAGGAAGCAGTGGTCAACTATGGTATACATTCAACATATGTAAAACAGATGTTTAATACATGGTCTTCTACAAATAGAATCATACCAGATGACTCGAATCAGTTAATCTCAGCTATTTTAGAATATAGCCAGCAGTTAAAATGGAAAAGTTGGTTGAGAGAGGGAGCTAGAATCCTTGAGCAACAAGGTAAGATCAGAGGTTTTGAGATCTCCAAGATCAAATTCTAGCAGTTTAACTGCTAGAAATGTACAAGTTATTTTTGATGAGCATACAATATCCCTATGACATACAGCAGCTTTAAATGCTTGGGAAAAAATTTCAGAACCCAAAAATCCAATTGAGCTATATACGAAGATTTTCCCAAGGGCCACAAGAACCATTTACTGATTTTTTACAAATGCTGACCACAGCTATAAACAAGACAGTATCAGACCAAGGACTAAGACAAGTATTAACTGAATCCTTGACTTTAAACAATGCTAATACAGAATGCAAAAGAATACTTACACCTTTAAAGGTCAGGTCAGTAGTTTTAGAGAGGAATTAATTCAATATACAAATAGTATTGTCTCTTAACTATGGTAATGAGGCTTGGATAGGAGAGGTGATTTCCAGAGGTGGAAGGAGGCATCAAGGTAACAAATGTTTTAACTGTGGTACACCAGGTCATATGAGAAGAAATTTTAGAAAGGTGCTTCTAGAAGCAATATTCTTATAGAAATAACCCAAACAGGAGACCCCAACCTTCTGGATTATGCAGAAGATGTGGCAAAGGCAGACATTGGACCAATGGATGCAGATCAACAATAGATATAATGAGGGAGCCCTTTACCAGTGGGAAACACCTCAGGGGGCCTCTTACAGGCCCCCAAAGTGAACATGGTCCAAACATTTCCAGCTACTGTGAAAAAAATTCCTCTTCAGGACAATTAAATAACCCAGTGTCTAATATAAAGAATAATACTGCACTGGATGATAGAACAGCTCTGATAGCAAACTTCCATAAATCAACAAAGACCAAAATTTAGAGTACAAATTAATGGCTTTGTTCTGGAGGGCCTGATAGACACAGATGCAGAAGTGACTATAATTACACCAAAATAATGGCACCCGAATTGGCCTCTTCAAGAGGTAGATGTCCAATTTCTAGAGATTGGAGCCCTATCTCAAGTAAAACAAAGTTTGAGATGTGTTGAATGCATAGGGCCAGAAGGACAGAGAGGAAGGCTGAAACCATATGTGGCAAATGTAGTGGTAATCTTCAGGTCTGAGATCTGTTACAGCAGTGGAATACCCAGATTAAAATTCTTCCAATCTCAAAAGCAGAATACAGACCAATGCATGTTTCTGGGAATAATAGTATAAGATACTATAAAAAAAAAAAACAGCCACCAACCATCCAGGCTGTACATAAACAGAGCACAACTGCCATTGAACTCTCAGAAGTCCCAACAGCCCTACCTTTAAAATGGCTAACTGATAAACCTTTCTGGGTTGGACAATGGCCTATGACAAAAGAGAAACTACAAGCTTTAGAACAGCTTGTTCAAGGGCAGTTAAATACTCAACACATTAAGAATCTATCAGCCCTTGGAATTCTCCTGTATTTGTTATTAAAAAGAAGTCTGGTAACCAGAAAATGATGACATAGCTGAGAGCCATTAATAAAGTAATTCAGCCTATGGGCTCCCTACAGACTAGGATACTCTTACACTCTCTGTTACCCAAAAAATGGCCCACTGTAGTTATTGACTAAAAAGACTGTTTCAGCCGGGCGGTGGTGGCGCACGCCTTTAATCCCAGCACTCGGGAGGCAGAGCCAGGCGGATCTCTGTGAGTTCAAGGCCAGCCTGGACTACCAAGTGAGTTCCAGGAAAGGCGCAAAGCTACACAGAGAAACCCTGTCTCGAAAAACCAACAAAAAAACAAAAAACAAACAAAAAAAAAAAGACCGTTTCTTTACCATCCTTTTACAAGAAAAGGATAGAGAAAAATTTGCCTTCACAGTAACTAATTGTAATAATTCCCAGTCAGTCAAGAGATATCAATGGAAGGTCCTCCCACAGGGATATTAAATAGCCCTACCCTGTGCCAATATTTTGTGTAATAACCATTGTAAATAATTCATGTGAAATTTCCACAATCCTAATTTGTCATTATATGGATGATACCTTATTAGCTGATCTAAAGTTAGGTACCTTAGAAAGCATGTTTGAAGAAGTAAAGAAAGTTTTGCCTCACTGGGGACTATAAATTGCTTATGAAGAGATACAAAGAGGAAATTCTATTAATTACTTAGGATATAAGACAGATCTCTAAAAAAATTAGACCCCAAAAGGTACAACTCAGGAGAGACTGATTGCAGACTATTAATGATTTTCAAAAATTGTTAGGAAGCATTTCCAACTTATAGGCTATCATTGGAATACCTAAAGATGGGCTAGTGAATTTGGCTAATACCCTAAAAGGGGACAAGGACTTAAATAGTCTAAGAGAATTATCAGCTGAAGCTGAGAAGGCATTGGCTGCAGTAGAAAAGAAAATACAAAAAGCACATGTGGATTGTGTGAGTCCAGAAGTTAACTACATTCTAGTCATATTCCCTTTTAGACAATCCCCCACAGGGATTTTGATGCAGAGGGAGGATATTATATTGGAATGGATATTTCTATCATGTAAACTGAGAAAGAAATTAAAAACTTATGTGGAAAAGATCTGTGATTTGATTCTAAAGGGAAAATTAAAACTTTGTCAATTGACAGGAATGGACACAGCAGAAATTGTAGTACCCTTAACTGATGAGGAGATTTCCTTTTTATGGAAAGATAATGGATACTGGCAAAGAGCCTGCAGTAACTTTTTTAGAGAGATTAACGCTTGTTATCCCAAAAGCAAGAGAATAGAATTCAGAAAAAGAACTGATTGGGTCCTTCTTCACATTGTATGGCAAAAGCTAATCTCTGTTGTCCCCACATTCTATATTGATGCAAATAAATCAGGAAAGGCAGGGTACAAATCAAGAGACTTAAGTAAAATCACTCAAAGCCCCTACAATTCTGTACAAAAGGCAAAACTATATGCCATTCTTATGGTACTGGTGGACTTCATGGAACCCCTCAGTATAGTCAATGACTCTCAGTATGCAGAGTTTTTTTTTAAATATTGAAACTGCTGAACTTATTCCTGATAATACAGAATTAACTTCACTATTTACACAATTACAGGAAATTATCAGAAATAGGGAACATCTTAGATATATATAAAACACACATCAGATCCCATACAGGTCTGCCAGGTCCTCTAGTACCAGGTAGTGATGAGAATGTTCAGTTATTAATAGGTAATGTGCTAGAAGCCTCAGAATTTCATAAGAAACATCATGTAAATAGCAAGGGTTTTAAGAAGGATTTCTCCATCACTTGGCAACAAGCCAAGGAAATTATTTTTTTAAATGTCCTATGTGTTTCTTCTATAACTAAACTCCTTTCCCTGAAGGAAGCAATCCAAAAGGTATACAGAGAAATGAAATTTGGCAGATGGATGTTTTTCATTTTGCAGAATTTGGAAGATTAAAATATGTACAGTGCTGTGGATATTGTTCTGTATAAATAAAACACTGATTGGCCAGTGGCCAGGCAGGAAGTATAGGCAGGACAAGGAGAGAGGAGAATTCTAGGAAGTGGAAGGCAGAGAGGGAGACACTGCCAGTCGCTGCCATGAAAACCAGCATGTGAAGATGCCGGTAAGCCATGAGCCATGTGGCAAGGTATAGATTTATAGAAATGGATTAATTTAAGATATAAGAACAGTTAGCAAGAAGCCTGTCACAGCCATACAGTTTGTAAGCAATATAAGTCTCTGTGTTTACTTGGTTGGGTCTGAGCAGCTGTGGGACTAGTGGGTGACAGATTTGTCCTGACTGTGGGCCAGGCAGGAAAACTCTAGCTACAGTACACCATACCATTGACACCTATTCAGGATTTCAATGGTCAACTCCTATGAGTTCTGAAAAGGCTGACTCTGATTACACACCTATTAGAAGTTATGGCCATCATGGGAATACCAGTACGAATTAAGACTGACAATGCTCCAGCATATGTCTCAAATAAAATGAGACAGTTTTTTGTGTATTACAATATAAAGCATATTACAGGTATACCACATAATCCCACAGGCCAAGCAGTCATAGAAAGGTCTGATTGATCTTTAAAGGATATGCTGAATAAACAGAAAGAGGTAACAATGACTCCTAGAAATAGATCACATAATGCTTTATTAACCTTGAATTTTTTCAATGCTTATGAGAAAGGGACAACAGCTGCAGAGAGACATTGGACAACAGAAAAAAAACTCCTGAGCTAAACCAACCACTTCAAAGATGTGTTGACCTCAGAATGGAAACTAGGTTATGTCCTATGCTGGGAAAGGGGGCTTGCTTTTGTTTCTGCAGGAGAAGAAAAGCTATGGATATCAACAAAATTAGAATTTGATTCAAACAGGAAAAACCCCTTGATGAGGAGAAGTAATAGCTCATCCACTGATGTGAAAACTCTACAAGTTGTAAAAAAAAAAAAAAAAAAAAAAAAAAAAAAAAAAAAAAAAACCTCAGCTAACAAAGGGTCAGGGCAGGGTTCTGTATTTTGTTTTACAGGATAATAGAAATACAATCTCCCATAAATCATAAGGCCTTGGATACCTAGGTGTCTACAGCAGAAGGAAAGAACCTATTGGTACCATAATACAGGGTACTATTTCACTGCCTAACATCTATATCTCTTTAACTCTAAAAAGTTATGGTCCCAATTCCACTATAAATCAAGCTGGCTTTGGAGTTGGAATGTGACTTTCTCCTTCTCTAAATCCAAGCATGTTGCTAAAAGAAAAAGTTAAGAGATTCTGTCTTATATTAGAAGAGCCGCCTGGTGTGGGGCAGAAGAAAATCAATAATCTAGAGACCATTGTCATCAAAATTTTATATCTTTCCATGCTTGTCCTTGCTTTTGGAGAATCCTTTCTCTATCTAGAATAAAACCAAAATTTCCATTTTGATATTAAAATTGTTCAAGTTTTTCTACAATAAAAAACAAGCCTTTCCAATAGCAATCTCTAAAGGCTCCAGAAGGAAGATAGGGCCCCACAACAATGACTCTGCCCAATCCAGAATGATGCCATGGTACCCATGAACATTACTCAATGATCAACTTTGGACTGAAAACTCTCCAGGACAGTTCCAAGATGAGATGGTCCATCATACTACACTTCTGAGATGGGAATCTCAGATAACCTTACCCATTACTCTGAGACTGGCTGTAGAATATACAGCTAGCCCTATTGAGACCTACCTATCTGAGCTTTCTTACAGAACCCCACAGAGATACTGTCATCCCCTAAACAGCAGGAAGTGATTCTAAGAAAATAACACTTTCCTAAAGGTTTCATTTTCTGTGGGTTATGGATAATGGTTATAAGGTTGGGGGTGGAACAATAAAAATTAGACTCAATATTCTCCTTAAGAAAAGAAAAAGGGAATGAATAGGTATAGGATATTAAAATAGATTATTATATATAGTAGTAAACTAATTTAGCAAAATATCAGCTGTAGATAATTTGCATGGTTATGGATTCTTGTATATTGATACAAATGTAAACTATTTTATATTCTTATTTAAGGTAACTTATATATTGGTACAAACACAAAACTATATTTGTTGTATTGTACATCTATTTCTACTCCTATTTGAAATATCTTGTATATTGATACAAATGTAAAATTATATTTGTCATACTGTATGTATGTTTTACTCCTGTTTAAGATATTTTGTATACTGGTACATATTTAGGATCATTGCCATAATGCATAATGTACTAAAATTTTCTACCTCTGTTTAGGACATTTTGTGCATTGTCACAATTTTGAGGTCATTGTCCTTTTACTATATATTTGTTTACAGACTGTTTACCTTGTTTTTGTGACAACTTAGTCCTTAGGTTATTTAGGTAGAAAAGACTTACAGAATTATAGTCACCTATGCTTATCATTTCTATATTTATGTTAGTTAGGTTGTCCACATTTATAGATACATAGGTCAGATGGATAGGTACTCTTCAAACACTCCATAGACCTAGAGAACATAGCATTAAAATAACTTAGAATTCTGTTGATGTGAGACATGATTGCTCCTAGCAGCACCAATCTGATCCTGAGAGAATGTTGGACTTCTAGACACTTCATTTGGAAATTTGTCTTCTTCTTGGTGCATAATGGCCTGCTGAGCAAAGAACCTTGCCTCGGTTGCTGACAGTACGAATGCTGTCCTTTCTGGATGAGCAGGACACAAGAACAACAACCACTGAACTCTGCCAAGACAGGGTTTACCCTTTCTTGGTCTTTCAAAATTCCTGCTTCTGAAAATGGTCTGTCAGATATTCTAGGCCTGTAGCCAAATTGGATGCCCCATCTGTGCTGAAAAACTTTAGGTGACTGTCCAGACCGCCAACTGTCTCTATTCTCGAAAGATTTTAAAAAATTGCTTGTATGCATTCCCCATTTTCTCAGGTATTATTATGTTCTCTCAGGTCTTTGTTGGGATTGAAGACTAATAGTTACAGTGACAATCTTCTTGTATCTTAGCTAGAACATATTAAGTACTAGATTCAGATTCTTCAGAATAGGACAGCTTTTGGAATAATCTCTGTAACATGCCATTTACCTATGTTCTGGACATCTCTGGATTTTAGTATGTGTCTATTGTTTGATGTTGTTCTTGATGGTTGTAGTTCCATTTTGCTTAGGTTATTACCCGTTATTTCTCCTGGACAACACTTAATAATCATTCCTATTATATATAGTTTTGTGTTAGGTTAGAACTTTCTTATTCTACAAAAGGGGGAGATGTAGTGGGTAGCTGTTCTAGCTATGACCTTGAAGCACTGCCCCTAGTGAGGAAGCAGGTAACTGTTACACCTGCCTATGACCTTGAAGCACATGCCCCTGGGGCATGGCCACGAGGTACCCTTAAGACCTGGGATGCATGTACTTGGCTCTCTCTTCACTTTGTTGTAGGATTTGGATGCTGGGATGATCTCAGGCAGAAGAACAGTGTGGGACCATCCCTCACCCTTTCAGGATCCTGCAATAATTCCTCTGTTCTGTATGGTGAGTTTCTTTCTCTAATAAATTCCTTTGCCCTTTAAGCAGACTCTGTGGATTGCTAGCGATATTTCTCATATTAACAAACTGTATCCAAATAAAATCACACACAAAAAAAAACCTGTGGAGTCCATTTTTTTATATATTGTTCAACTACTCTTGAATATGAGGCCTGTCTTGGAGTGGTTACTATACCCAGTGTCAGTCCATTAGCAAAAGCTGATTTTTCCCTCTCCCAGCAGATATAAATGACAGTTCAGTTGTTAACCTTTAACCTAGTGACTAGGTTTTCATACATTCATTTTTTTAAAAAACATAACAAAAGAAAATATAAGATAAAACAAAATTTATTACATCAAAGTTGGGCAAGACAAACCAACAGAAGAAAAGGGCCCAAGAAAAGGCACAAAAATCAGAGACCCACTTGTTCACACAATTGGGAATCCCACAAAAACATTAAACTGAAAGCCATAATACAAGCACAAACCAGGACCAGGTGCAGACCCGAGGAGGCCCTGTGCATGCTGCCTCTGTCTCTGAATTCTTGTGAGCCTTGCTCAGTTGATTGAGAGGACATTGTTTTCTTGGTGTTCTCCATCCCCTCTGGCTCTTGCACTCTTTCTGCCTGCTCTTTCATGGGGTTCCCTGAGCTCTGAGAAGAAGGATTTGATGGAGACATCCCATTTAGGGTTGAGTGTTCAAAGGTCTCACACTCTACATAATGTCAGGTTGTGGACCTCTGTATTTGTTCCCATCTGCTGCAGGAGGAATTATTATTAATGAGCCACACTGAGTAGGGCCATTGCTGTAGTATGGATCTTAAATATCCCCAAAGGCCCATTGTTAAAAATTCCTGCTTCCTAGGTAGGTGATGAAACCTCTGAGAGGCAGAGCCCTCTGAGGGTTTCTTAAGTCACTGGGAGTAGAACTGTGAAGGGGGCTGTGAACCTTGGTTCCATTTTGTATCTTTGCCTGCTGGTTCATGATGTGCTACACACAGTCCCACAATGATGTGGTACTTTACCAGTGGGCCAAATAACAAATCACAGGTTGGAGCCTCCAGAATTGTAAGTCAAAACCAATTTTTCTTTATATATATTTTGTTACAATTGAAAGTTTACACATCCAGATGACCTGAAATTTAGGCCCAAAGACCAACCAGGAGTCAACACACACACACACACACACACACACACACACACACAGAAAGAGAGAGATATACCTATATGCATATGTATAGTGTTATGGACTGAACTGGATGCCTCTACAGTTGACATGTTAACATTATTAAGCCCCCAGAATCTCTGAAGGTTATATATTTGGACACCAGGCTTTTAAAGAGGGAATTCAATATAATTCAGCCTCAGGCTGGACTCTTATCTGCTATAACTGGTGTTCTCACCAGAAGAGAATGTTAAGAAAGAAGCATGTATGTGTGCAGGTGAAAGCCCATGTAAGGACACAGAAGAAGATGGGATTTGTAAGGCAAGGGGGGCTGGCTTAGAAGAGATCATTTTTACTGACACATTTGATCTTGGGCTTGTGGCATCCACAACTATAAAATTAATTTTAATTCCCTATGACACCAGTGTGTGGTATTTGGTTATAGCAAACCTAGAAAACTAATTCAGGGACCACATTTTCCAAACTAAGAATTAGGGCATGGGGCCCAACACGCACAAATGATTCATACACACAGGGACTGAAATACCTTTGATTAGAAACCCAGCCATGCTTACTACATTACTACTCATTGCTACATAGTCTTACTTCCAAACACAATTTTGCCTGATCTTAGGAAAATGCCTCTACTTTATAACATCTAAGAAAGAAAGGTCCAGTACTGTAACTGGAAATCTACCAAGCCCAGCTCAGAAACTAACGCAATACTGACATGCATCCTCTTCGGGTTACTTAAAAAAACAAAATGTAATTTAAAAAGGAAGAAGCAGAGAAACCAGACTTCTTTCAGACTTAACATTTAACTGTGATCTAAATTATTGTAATGTCACACGGTTCTATTTTTAGGAAAAGAAGCAAGCTAGGAATCCTGCATACGTCTGTGAACACCAGGCCTTCAAGAGAAGTGGCACAGGATAGCTTTCACAGGCTCTGAGGCCAACTAGCTGTAGAATTAGAAGAGACCTACAGTGGAGAGAAAAGGATTTTTTTAAAACTAAATGTCATTCAAGACCTAAGTCCAAAAAGGAATTGCAAGTTGGCCATGGTTGTCTATACAGCGTGTACTGGACAAAATGCCAGCTTTTCTTCCTCAAAGCTAGAATCAAAAAGAAGAAAAAATTGAAACTCTTGCTTATTAATCACCCTCCAAAAATGTCAACATATATACATTTAAAAGCCTGCAGGAGATCCAGAGAAAAATGTTAACGCATGTAGAATCCTCATGAAATGTAAGCCAGGTGTGAATTGTTTTGTTTTTCTTCAGAAGAGCAGACTCACAGGACTTCCGTTATTACCCCCGTGGTTCAGTTCTCACCATAGGTTAGAAAAATGCAGCTGAGTAAAAAGGAAAACTAAACTCTGGATGTTTCTGGACCAAATACAAATATTCAACTCTGGGGGTAAGATGACAAAATAGAACCAAATATGAAATTGCCCAATTCGCAAAAGGCAGTGAAGAAATAAGCACAGCTAGAGAAAATTAAATTACATCCTGTCCTTAAATAAATGGAGCAGGGAGGTCTCATGCTACATCTTTGAAAGAACCCCGAACCAGGTGTTTCTAAAATCATATTTCCCAAAGCAATACTGAAATACAAGAATGAGGTGATAAAAAGTTGGGTGAAAAACCTCCCCAGTTCATAGGGAAGACACTAACAAGAATCAGTAGGTGGCCAGGGGAAGTGAAAATGAATGTTTCCCTGGAAGAGAACTCACCCACCAGGACTAAGGGAATGCGTGAATTCCTGGAGAAGGCTATCTCTACAAACAAATGGGGCTTCCTGTCACACAAAGCCAGACTTTCTTAAGAGGGAAAGCAAAGAAGCTCACTGAGATTAGCTGGATCCAAGATACAAACTGTACATGAGTCAAATTTTAAATTCTCAGCCTTCCTGTAGATTAAAATTGCGGATCCAGGAAATGGAGTAGAGAAGAACTCTGTGAGAGACAGCTTCAGAGCGGGACCACAGGCACCAAGTCCTCTTTCGCCACTGATAAGGGGCCTTGTGCAGGCCGCTACACACTGCCAGCACCGTGCTCTCATCTGTGGAATGGGAACTAGTATCAAACCGATGCTTGAGGCTAAAACTAGCCGATTTAAGAAAGCTCCGTAGAAAATGCCAGGCTCTTGGCAAGGACCACATATGTAGACTTCCCTTTCTTTTCTCCTGCTGGCCAGGGAGGAGTAGAGGATCCACCAGAGAAGTTCCTTTATGCAGCGGATGGTGACTAACACAGAAACTCACAACTGCAGATGTATAATAAATAAGTACATGTAGAATGCATAACCATAAATAGTACATCACATCACACCCCTCCCCTACAAAGCTCAGGGACCATTGTGGAACAGGGAACCAAAAAGACTGTAAGAGCCAGAGGTAGAGAAGGACCAGAGCAAAATGATATCTTCTAGAAATGAGAGGACCACTGCCCTCACGAAGTCACAACAGCTGTGGTTACCTGCCTAAACCCTGCCAGCTCAAGCCAGTTAATGGGCTAGCACGGAGCAGGAAGGGAGGGATTCATGAGCCCCGACACTCAAAAGGTAGCATCTGATAAGTGTAAGGAATATGGAGTCTGGCTCTGAGATTTTTTGGATCTGCACCAGGTCGGATGGATTATAGGGAGGAAGCACACCGGAAATGAACCAGAGTTGGAATGAAGAACATCTCTTTACATCTGAATATATTCATTTTAGTGTGTCCATGAGACATTCAGGAGTAAATGTGGGACTAAAAATAGCAGAAAAGTAAGGGGGGAAAAAGATATTTTTGTGAAACACAGTGCAGGGGGTGGTATTTGCTAGAAAGAAGAATGTGCAAGGAAAACGCTGGGAAGAAAGATAACAGTCGGGATACGCTGGCGTGGAGGTCCAGCAAGGGGAGGGCTGAGGAAGGAGGAGGAAGGAGACACAGAGTAAACACAGGAACTCCCCCCTCCAGCCATGTGGCTGAGTGTGGGCTACTGCAGAGGAAAGGAAGAAAAGTCAAGGAGGGCTCTGGAGAGAGGAGGGAAGGTTAAAGTTGTTAAAGGGGCAGCTGGTGAACAAGGAGGAAAAGCAAGTAAACAACGGAGGCGGATTGCCATCAATTTGTAGTGGCACCAGTTTGCCTGGAAAGGCAATTATTTCTCGCCATGATAGTCTGAGTTGAGCTGGGAAATCCTCAGTTGTGGTTTAAAAAAGAAGAAGAAAACAAAACAAAACAAAAACATCACAACGGAGTTAAGCAGCTCAAGGGAAAATGTTCCCATTGTCTTTGGGATCCAGGCTCCACATGGTATGAATTTGGTCTCCAAGAGTCCCATGGTTACTGAAAATGGATGACTCAAGTGACCAGAGGCCTCAGTGACAATGAGCTGCCTGGGAAGAGAAGGCAGAGGGTTGAGAAAGCTGAAAGAAAGGTAAAGCAAGAGAGGCGGGGGTACCCACACCTCTGCAGCAGCTCCTACTTCATACTTTCCTCTGGCCAAGCTGTCATCTGCTCTGGACAGTTCTTTTGCAGGTCAGGACTGGGCGGTAATGCCCAGAGAAGCAGTTTTAACGGGTGCAGATGGATAGCTACCCCAGCATCCCCTCCTCCCCATGGTGAGCTAACTCGGGGATGTTCTCTCCTGTCTCCCAGAGTTCCCCAGCTCTCTGTCTCTCAGGATGAATTCCAGTTGTCCACAATGAGAACTTGGTTGGCATTCTACCATTCAGTAGCTTACCTCCCTTGGTTGTCTCAACACTCCACCCACTCCTAGCAGGATTAATGTCCATATATACTTCCTGTATTTAAAAGTCTGTTTCTTAGGGTACTTGTCCAAAATATAGGTCCTGTGGCTGTGGTTTTTCAGAAGTAAATTTATTTGGAGCTCAGGGGTTTGGATCTTAAATATCCCCCAGAAGTTCATGCTTCCAAGGTCTGTTTGGTCTCCAAAGCATCAAGGTTCTGCAGTGGAGCCCTTAAGCAGTCATTGGATCATGGTGGCTTTGGCCTTATGAACATATCAACCTATCTATGGATTTGTTCCTTAATGGGTTATTGTGAGGTGCTAAGAACTTTGGGAGATGGGGCCTAATTGGAGGAAGTGCATCATCGAGGATGCGTCTTCAATGGGTCTCTTTGCGATCCCCTGGGATGTGTCTTCAATGGGTCTCTTTGCAATTCCCCACCTCTGCCTTCTGGCCTCCAGGAAGTGGTTAGTTTTCCTCAGAAACACACTATGGTCATAGAACTCTGCCTACCAAGAGAGAGCCTCAGCAACCAGACAGAACTGTGGACTGGAGCCAGGGGCCAAAGCAACTCTTTCTTCCAAATTGTTTTTCTTGAGTAATATATATATACACACATATGTATTTATAAATACTTAATGTCACGTGTTCTGTCACACTTGTGTAAAGATGAGCAACTCAGAGCTGTGAAGGGACTGGGGTGCTAAAATGAAGTAGAAACAAATGCTGTTGGCTCTGAGGTAAAGAAGCATCAGGGACACGTTTGGGTTGTCTACATGGATGCCCAGTTGGCCTTAAATGTCACAGACGTTGACCTAGAGACAGAGACCATGAACCAAATCCCTAAGGCTTTCCACTATGAGAGTGATCAGAGGATCAGTAGACAGCAACAGCCTTTTAGTGGATAGGATCAATTAGGTCGGCAACATGACTCAAAACAAAGAGGATTTTCTGTTGGTTAAGCAGCCTCGTGACTGGCCGCACCCCGCGGCAGCCATGCCAACGGAGGAGAGTGCTGGTTGGTGGAAAAATCACGAGCCATGGTTACCTTTCTAGAGCTTTATTGGGAGAGAGAGGGAGAAAGGGAGAGAGAGGGGGAGAGAGAGAGAGAGAGAGAGAGAGAGAGAGAGAGAGAGAGGAAGGAAGGAAGGAAGGAAGGAAGGAAGGAAGGAAGGAAGGAAGGAAGGAAGGGAAGAAAGAAAGGACCACGTGGAGGGGGGAGTACAGGAGAGAATGCGAAAATGAGAATGCACAGAGGGCACACCTGCTTTTCAGGCTGGGACACCACCGTGGCAGGCTGGTGATGCAATTAAGGACAGAATCCTTACATTTTCTCACTGGAGAAATGGAGCTGTGTCCAGGCACAGGGAAGAGATTGAGGGCAATCCCTGATTCAGGGCATGCATGAAAAGGAGTAGCTGCCATTCAAATAGATGTAAGCAAGAAAACAGCATCCCTGTCGGAGGCCCACAGATCTACAGAAGGCTTATGCAAAGTGCTCACAATGAAAAGGACAGGAGGTTCCTGATAGCCAAGCAGAGGGACACAAAGAAGGGCTTGAACTGGGGGGAAACAACACCCAGACACTGTGTTTATTCTGAGCAAGCCTCTGGGTGACAGTCTCCTCAAGCAGCGCCTTAGGGGGAAGATGACTGCCTCTGAGACATGAAGCAGGGAACTCAGGGCCCTGCTTACTCCGCATGTGTGACTGGACCCGGAGAGAATGAGCTCATGGGCTGCCTCTAGACTGGGACTCTCTCAGAGGCAAGAACAACATTTTTCCTTTCTCTTTTTCAAGACAGAGTTTCTCTGTGTAGCCCTGGCTGTCCTGGAACTAGCTCTGATTTAGAGATCCACCTGCCTCTGTCTCCTAAGTGCTAGGATTAAAGGTGTGTGCCACTACTGCCCAGTTACAACTTTGTTCTTTATATCATGTACTACTTAAAAATTTTAAAAACTGACATATAATATATAAATGTGTGAAAATATTCAAGATAAGGAACTAATAATAGTAATATCCACATTCTGGTGTTGCTGTGTTTTTAAAAATATCTAGGCTTCTTTTTTCATTTCTAACTTCTAATTCCTACCCAAGTAAACAGCACTGGCACGCATCAGGACTGCCTTCATAAAGACTGCTATTATCTGTCTGGGGTTGTTTTCAGAGAGGAACCTGCTTGGTTGGTAGCGGCTTCTGATGTGGACTCAGCCTATGCTCTCTGAGGCGTACGAGGTTAATGTAGAACATTTTGAACTAATAATCACCAGCTCCGATGGAGACAGGAGTCCTGGGAAGATGACCACATAGACTCACCCTCAGGAACAAAGCCTTCCTGCTAACAAACTCTGGTGCCCATAGACGGTGCCCGTCCCCTCTGAAGGTCAAAGGGAGCCTTAGTACTCAGACCCCCACTTCTTCCTGGGATTCCCACATCCAGAGACTGATACACACTGAGGTGTACATACCACGCTGAGTCAGCCCCAAGGCTTCCTCTCTTCTCAGCTGAGCCTCCCTCACTTAATCCTGAGTCCTTCTCTTCCTTTTCACAGACACCAGTCCCCCAAATACTAAGTGCTGTGATTTGAATGTGCACCCCAAATTTACATGTTGGAACATAGTCTCCCGAATATGTTGATGGTATTTGGAAGTGTAGAATTTTACAAAAGTGAGGCCCCAATGATGACACCAGAGGATTTGCAAGAAAAGACACAAGGACCCAAGCTTGCTCTGTCTCTCCACAGGATACCCTACACCAGCTCATGAAGCACAATAGGGCTTTCTTTTATCAGATACTAGCAGGTGACAGCACCAGGCTGCTGGCCCTCCTTGCATCCAGAATTCAATTACTTGTGTATTTTCCTAGTCTCAAGTATTTTGTTAGAGTGACAGAAAATGGACTAAGACATTAATAAACACCCCACATTTAATCTCCTTTATGTGGCCCTTGAATGAGTGGGAGCCTGATCCGGTGCTATAGTTTATAGGAAACAGGATGGACATTATTTGCTAGGTATTGATGACAGGGAAAGAGCTTGCCCATTCATGTGGAGTTAGACCTCTATTAGCATCTCATATTTTTCCAGGGAAAGAAATAGCTCGCAGAATAGCAACATCGAGTATGAAAAGGATTTAGAGGATAAGATCCAGGTGACAGAGGTTCTGTTCTTGTCTTGACCTTCTGGAGAGAAATAGCTGTATCCTCACAGGCCTCAATCCATCCAGCTAGGTGAGTCATCGCTCAGGTAACTTCAGTCACCCAGGTAACTCGGGCTGTCATTTTGGAGCCCATGACACCTTCTAACATACTGGTAGAGGGCACACTCTTTTTCTGAAGACAGAAACATTGTCTCAAATAGAACCATTTTGATGAAATATTTGAGAGATGTTTTAAGTGATTTAAAAAAAAAAACCCTACTCTTAGGGTTGTCTCTTACAGGCAAATACAGAAAGTCTACAACCTTTGAACAAAGTGTATTATAAATGTTGATAGTTCAAAGTCCACTGTCTCAGGGAAACAAGAGTATAAGCAGAGGTCCCCCATTCAGTAATACCTCCTGAAAACCCACCATGTGCCCATCATTTTGTAGACATCAGAGTTACCAGTTTTTCTTCTTTAGTGGCTACTGTCTTGCACATGGGAAGTCTCCTGGGCTGAGCACTAAAGCCTATTCAACCCCTGTGTTGTTCCAGAGCTTCTACATCCTTGTGAGGCAACTGCTTTCCTAGGAGAGAAAGATGAAACTTCTTAGACCTCTGGATGTCAGAAATGTAGCCCTCTTCTGACTCCTGCAAAAACTAGAGACCGTCTATAGATGCTTCTAGAAGCTCGCTAAATTGAAAGACGTGTCTAGTACATTTATTGCTACACAAGAGAAAAAGGGCAACAAAAATATCCTTTCTCAAGTTACGTTGGGCCATGTTAAGAGGTAGTGACTAAGGTTCCCATGCACAGCAAGGTTGAGAAAGTGTAAGTTTTAATAGGTGTCTTTCCTGAATAAGGTACTAGCTACCTCGATGTATTATCGTGCCTTTCACACCCCTAACAATTGAAAACAGAACAGGATGAATATCCTTAATGCTACTGAGCCGAACACTTAGAAATAGTTAAAAAGAGGGAGTCTAACTCATGCGGTTTTCACCACCATTTTTTTTTTCTTAAAGATGACAACAGGAAGCTCCCTCTGAACTCCTTCCACTACTGGCTTCTGATGGACTACCTTCCCGTTAGAGCTCAGGACAGGATAGCCATCCTGGTTTCCCCAGAGCTCAATGCGGGCATCAGGGAATGCTGGGAAATCAAGACAATTGATCACCCACCCTAAGAATTATTTGGAAATGCTGTTATACGTCTGTCTATGGTTTGAATATGAAGTGTCTACCGTAGGTTTGCGCACTTGGGAACTACTTGCCAGCTGAGCAGCTTTGGGAAATGATTGGGAACTCAGGGTACTGACCCAGTCAGCGGATTCACCCCTTGACAGATCTGTAATATTGTGACATGATTGGGAGATGATCAAAAGTAGAAGGGTGGGGTCTAGGTAGAGAAATAGATTCCCAGGGACACACCTGGAAAGATGCGTCTTATCTCCCCTCTGTGCTCTGTCTGCCAAGAGGCAATTTGCTTTTCCCCACTTCTTGCTTACCATCATGGTACTCAGGCTCAGCTCAGGACCTCAGCAGTAGAGTCAACCACTGTGGGCTGAAACCACTAGGAACTTTGAGCCAAGAAAAATCTTTCCTTCTGGACCAGAGATTTTTCAACCTTCTGAGTGCTGTGACCCTTCAATACAGCTCCTCATGCTGTGGTGACCCCTAAACATAAAACTATTTTTGTTGCTACTCCATTGTTGTTTCAACTCTGGCACAGTGGCTGTGCCTTAATCTACTGCTAGTTCAGCCAACAATTGCAGCTCCACAGTTACCAGCCTGTTTCTCTAGCAGTGGCCCAGCCACTCAGACTGCAGCCTGGTGGGAATTCTCTCTCCACAGGGACCAACCCTGTCCGTGTCACTAAAGGTAGCTTTAACTAAATAGAAATTTAGTTAAATCATTCTATTTATAAATAAGACTTGAGATTCAAAGGCTAGGGTGAAAACCTGCTAGCTCAGAGAGGCTGAGTAGCAAATAGTTAATCTTCTCTCCTTGCTGGCATCTCCCAAAGAGACTCATCCTTCCTCTCCATTGCTACAGGCCACAAGAATATGAAATAGAGATTCAGCTGTATATGATAAAGCTATACCTTGAAGGATCAAGGAATCCTTCCAGAGGAGAAGTCAAATATCAAGGAATATTTGATGTTATTCAGTTTTTAATATACCAGTTGTTTCCTACTATCAATTTCTTGTGTGTCCATAACTCCTAGGCCATAACTGCAAACAGTATAAGCCTCTCAGACTTACTGCTGATCTGTACTAGGCAATAACCCTACAAAGACAACACCTGTTTCCTAGGCCTAGGAGATGGGCAGATGTATAAATGCATAGCTTTATTTCTCATGCAAATGAAGCTCAGATCATCCCTTTCTCTCATAGGACTAGTGGCATCCCAGAGCTATTGACTCAGAACAAAAGGATTTTTTGCATGACCAGGTAGAGTGAAGACTGGGGCAGAATTCCTGACTCCAGGTGAGGGTTAGAATGGCTTGCCAGAGGAGAAGGCAGCAAGGAAAAGTCTTTGCAGATTGTAGGTGGATTGGAATCAAGTCAAGAGAGGAGAAGAGGAAGGAAAGATGGGGGTAAAGGAACACAAGATGAAGATGAGATTGATAGCAGAAGAGCTTAGTTAGGGCTATGAGATGACAGGAAGAGAAGGGACAGGGAGGAGCTATATATAAGGATAGAAATAAAGTTGTGTAGATAGAATTTAACCTCAGAGGAATGAAGTAAATGGACCAAAAAAAAAAAAAAAAAAAAAAAAACCAATGTACTTAGATTCTTTTCCCTCAGATTACCCCATACTGGCCATAGTGTCTTCCCCAGGACTCTGGGAGAAATCTTCTTTGGGCACACCCCTGGAAAAATTTTGACATTCCATTCAACAAAAAAAGCTGAGCCACTTCAAATCTTCTAGTGCATCTCTCTATCTCTCCCAGATGCCCTTTGATGCTCTGATTACTTTTTGTCAACTAGTCACTAACTCAGCCTCCTGACCTAAAGTTAATTTTATTTAGTTAATGCAAATGTAAACTCAGGGTTCACAGTGTGATTGAATATCCCCCAATACTCCATAACTGTAGTTCTGCTACTGTTATGAGTCATAATGTAAATATCTGTGTTTTCTCATGGTCTCAGGTGACCCCTGTGAAAGGGTAGTATATCATCAAAGGCATCATGACCCACAAGTTGAGAAATGCTGTTCTAGATGGTCAGTCTAGACAATGAATTGAAGCCCAACTTAATGCAGTTGGTAAATTCGGTGATGCTCACAAGTGAAAACCAAAGGTGCTGTGAAATAATCTTTCTATAGACTGTGAATATGCATTACTCTCATTGGTTTATAAAAAGCTGATAGGCCAGTTGTCAGGCAGGAAGTATAGGAAGGACAGCCAAAAACAGAGGACTCTGGGAAGAAGAAGGCAGAGTCAGTGGAGAGTCCAGCCAGTCACCAAGGAAGCAGGACATGTAGAAAATGAGGTAACAAGACATGAGCCATGTGGCAAAGCATAGATAAGGAATATGGGTTAATTTAATTGTAATAGCTAGGTAATAACAAGCCTGAGCTATTGGCCGAACATTTATAAGTAATATTAAGTCTCTGAGTCAGTTATTTGACAGCAGGCGGTTGGACAGGAAAACTCTACCTACTCAAAGGCAATGGCTTGTGGTGATATTGTGTTCCCAAATAAATTGTGTACCCTAATAAATTTATCTGGAGTCAGAGAACAGAACAGCCACTAGACAGACATAGAGGCCAGAAAATGGTGGCACACACACCTTTAATCCTAGCATTCTGGAGGCAGAGATCCATCTGGATCTCTGTAAGTTCAAAGTCACACTGGAAACAGCCAGACATGGGTGACACGTGCCTTTAATCCCAGGAAGTGATGGCAGGAAACAGAAAGGTATATAAGGCATGAGGATGAGAAACTATAGCCTGGTTAAGCTTTTAGGCTTTTGAGCAGCACAGTTCAGCTGAGATCCATTCAGATGAGGACTCAGAGGCTTCCAGTCTGAGGAAACAAGATCAGCTGAGAACTTGGCGAGGTGAGGTTTGCTGTGGCTTTTTCTGCTTCTCTGATCTTCCAGCATTCATCCCAATAACTGGCACTGAGTTTTTTAATAAGACCTTTTAAGACTCGTGTTACAATGGCTGGGGTGCAGCAGCTGGCTTTTCCTCCACCTGCCCATGCCTCTCCTTCCCCATTGGTCTCTGGAAGTACATCCATCAAGGAGGCTTGGATGCCGTGGATCTGTCATTGCTTCTTTGTAAGAGTGATGAGAGTGCACAAGGAGACTCATACCTTCTCTAGATCAACCGATGCTTAAATTATCTGCTTACCTGACTAAGAATCTGAAAGAAAACCAATATCAGAAACTGGTATCAAATCTCAAGAAACTAACCTGACAGTCGTGGCTCATGCCTTTAATCCCAGCACCGAAGAGGCAGAGACAGGCAGATCTCTGTGACTTAGAGACCAGCCTGGTCCACACAGTGAGTTCCAGGACAGCCAAAGATACACAAAGAGATTCTGTCTCAAAAGAAAAAAATATCTCAAGAAAACCCACTTATTTCTATAGGTAACTAACTATAACTAATACAATGATTAACATACCTAGAAGTCAAAAAATAAATGAAACTAGATGACAATGTCCTCATCTGGCTCAAAGTTAACCCCTACTTCATTTTAGCAAGTGCTCCATGAATTACAGCATTACATCATTACGTCAAATGCCCGTCTGCAACCTTCCTATACACTCCATATCCACAAATTCATTGAGAATACACAGAAGTAAATTGCCTCTATTCTGAGTTGTGTAGATTTGCTTTTAAATTTATTTTCATTCCATATGTAGTATAGTATAGTGACTATATTAATATACAGTATTTTACATTGTACTAGGTGTCACATGCAACCTAGAGATGATTTAAAGTATATTAGAGTGTGTAGGTTATAGGCACATACTGTGCCATTTTATAAAAAGAACTTGAATGTGCAGATTTTGGTACCCACAGGAACTACTGAAAGTAAAGAAGTACTGTATGCAGCAAGAGTGTCCCTAAATTATCCTTTATATTCTTAAATACAGGATATTTAACTCAGTTTAGTTTTGTTGTGACTCATAGACCCATAGCCTTTTGGTTTTGAAATAAGAGGAGATGAATGCATGTATTCATTTCTGAGCAAACACATGTCGTCTCAAAGGGAGCTGGACTCACCACAGGGACCACAAGCCGGCCATCCACATCCAGGACCCAGACCCATGCTTTTCTCACAGCAGGCATTCGATAAATTCTTCCCAGCGAATTCAACTGCTTCTTTCCTCCACTGGTGTCCAGCCGTAGATGACGTCATAGGTGTTTATATGTTCATGTGGTAATACCAAGAGTAGGCTAAAATAGGGAATGTGCAGACAGATTAAAAAGGAATATTGGAGCCGGGCGGTGGTGGCGCACGCCTTTAATCCCAGCACTCGGGAGGCAGAGCCAGGCGGATCTCTGTGAGTTCGAGGCCAGCCTGGTCTCCAAAGCGAGTTCCAGGAAAGGCGCAAAGCTACACAGAGAAACCCTGTCTCAAAAAAAAAAAAAGGAATATTGGATTGGTATATCCTGCTCTTCCTGCCAAAAAGGAAGTCCTCTTGTGGCTGTGGGTCCCAAGAGCCCAGAGGAAACTCTAAAAATGGTCCCAACATGAATCATTGTGTTAGGAGCACTGATCCCTACCAATCTAGCAATCTACTTTTTCAAAAATCTGCTCTAAGACTAAAGACATGGCTCAGCACTTAGGAGTGCTACTGCAAAGGGCCTGGTTTGGTTCCTACCACCTACATGGTGGCTTACAGCCACCTGTAACTCCAGTAACAGAGCAACGCCCTCTTCTGACTTCCACAGGCCCCTCCACAAACTCATGGAGCACACACACATAAAAATAGTAAGGAAATCTTTTTCAAAAGCCTGCCACCTTAAGTCACTCTACTGCTTCCCAAGCCCTTCAGAGGTGTAAGACTCGGTTACCCACAGCCCAGTCCCACACAGATTGCAATCTCTGTAGGTCACAGCAAGGAAAGGTCATTGACTTTTTCCCGAGAAGATACAGAACTAGAAAAGGGAGGAATCATAAATGAATAGGTATGTCCAACATGCCTAACAGGGAGCGGGGTAAAGAAGAGGTGATGTAACATACTTAATCGATTACAGTTTCACACAACACTGGAGTCTTCCTGTTGACCAGAGTGACTTGTCAAAGTTCAGGCCTTAACTCAGGAAAGGACAGACAGAGGTGCACAGGTAGGACTGGACAGAAAGGGTCAGATGGATTGGATGGGGAAGCCAGCAAGGCTAGTCTGCTAAGACTCTCTGCAGCCTCTCGGTGCATCTCTCCCTCCCCTGAGGCTTAGACAAACCTTCCTGGAATGGGAGTCATACTCTACCGCTGGACAAGACACAGGGTTTCTTTGCACCCAGCTCCAAGAGAGGGAAAGGCCAGGGAAGGGCTTTGGGAAAAGGGGGAGGGGCCTAGCTTTACCAGGGGAAGAAAAGCTCACATTTCTGGCTTGCTTGGGGCAAAGAAGAAAAAGTGAGAGATGGAGGAGTAGAAGGTCAAAGACATATTTTCTCCTAAAGCTCTAAAGACATTTTCTGAACTCCAACATGGTGGAGACCATCTTTCTGCATGATGGATTTTGAGGAAATGCACTTTGGAGAGAGTGAGCAATAAGGTCATATCGGTCACAGACCCTGTCACACGTGTGCCTTTATCTCTAAACTCTGAGAAATTAACATCTAGACCTATAGCAGACAGTCACTACTTTGAGTGGGTGACATTTTACATAGAATGTTCATATTTACGTAGAAAGCAGCCATTAGCCAGAAACACACAAGCACCCACCCACTGAAATAATCTTTGTTTTTACACTCAGATTTGTGTAAATTACACTCACACCATTTCTGCTATTGTCAAAGCAGCCTCATTTTAAAGAGATGGTTATAAATCTATTGAATGACCTATGTCTTGGGTTTGCTAAGAAGTATTTGGTCACAGCTCATGTTTTAAAAAGAATAAGGTTTAATTCAGTTTAGTGTAACACCTACCCACAGGACAGAATAAGGGAAAACAAGGGTCTTGTAAGTAATAGGCTACTAATAAAACAGATCACACCAGTGGACACTGGTGCCTGAGCCCCTGGTTCACTGTAAGATGTTGCTCAGCTCCGTTGTAAACATGGCAGTATGAGTGTGTTTTTCTAATGGAAGACTTTTATTTATTATTTATTCATTAAAATATCACGCCTGCACACACACTCTCTCATGGTTGTCTATGCTACATTAATGTGAAATACAAGCGTGGATTTTTTGTTTCTTGTAGAACTGGTTTTCTTTGGGGGGGGTGGCATTTCAGAACACGTCTCATTCCATTTCATCATACAATGAGATTAATACTATCTATGAGAAAATATTCTCTACACCGGCCAAAACAAATTGTTTTAAACTTCAAAAGAAAAGTGACATATTTTTCATTTTTTGCTTCTAGATTTAATAAAGATGAAAAGCGGGCTTTACAGGCAGACACTGCTTTCCTAAGGGGGAGGGCAGTCTTTTCATTGCAAAGACCCATAGAGAGCCGCTGGCACTCTATGTGGCTAGACTAGGGCAGGATTAGTTTTCTGCATTAGGTGCTTAAAAGCACCTCATTCAGGTGTGTGTGTAGGGGGGGTGTTTTCTGAGAGAATCTTATTCTTAAATTTGTTTTCCTTATGTTCATAACAGCTTTTGTACATGTTGCTGGGAAAATACACATTAATATCTCAAATTATGCATGCACTATACGTTATATAAATCAGTGGTTCTCAACACGTGGGTCACTACCCCTTTAGGTTCAAAGGGCCCTTTCATAGGGGTCACCTAAGAACCTCAAAAAACACAGATATTTATGATTAATCAAATATTATATATTATGATCCATAACAGTAGCAAAATTATAGTTATAAAGTAGCAGTGAAAATAATTTCATGGTTGGAGGTCACCACACCATGAAGAACTGTATTAAAGGGTCACAGTGTTAGGAAGGTTGAGAATCACTGGTATAAACTAATTATGACTCTTGTGTCCATTACACCATTACTTGTCAGAGGACTCTAACCTTCCCAAGTTAGCACGAGATAATAAATGTCCTAAAGCACATTCTGGTCAATAATGTCCCAAATAACATTGACAATGTTTAGAAAGTTTTCTGTTGGATGAATGAGAGGCTACTTTTAGTTTTAAACAGTTCATCATTTCTGGGGTGACATGTTTAGGCAGGTAAGTAGGTCAAGCATGATGGGATAAAGTATATTTCTTTGTTCTTGTGGGTTTGATTTTTTTCCTGCATTTGAAATGTGTCTAGATTAAAAGACATCAAAAAAAACAGCTATCATAATGCCTGAGTAAGAGGGTTTGCTTTGTAGCTCTTTTGATTTGGGCTCTTAAAAATGTAAGTTGTTTTTTTTTTTAAATAACTAAACATAGTTCCCAATGATAACATAATAAAATAGCAACAGAAGTCATCCCTATCTGTGAGGCTGGGAATTGCAATAATTTAAAAGTTAATATATTTTTAATCCAAATCATAAAACAAGATAATTTGCACAATTGCACCAAAAGATTTTTAAATCTAACTAAACAGATGAGTTTAAAAGGAAGTAGACTGAAGATAGTTGTCATTCATCAGTTCTTTTGATGCTTAGTAATTTAACTCAATGCATAGGGCATCAGACCAGAATTCTTCATTTAGCTCACAATTGTGGGAGTCAATACACTGGGTTGGGCTCGGCTGTGTGGTTTTGTTGCTGTGTAACTCAGTTACTTGTGTGTCTACATTCAGCTGCCGGTGATGCAGTCAGTAGATGACTTCTCAGTGTTGATTCATTCCCACCAGTTTCATTCACACAGTTGGCAGGTACCTGACTGCCGCGTCAAGTACCTTACCTGTCGTCCACCTGGCATCTCATCCTGTAGACGTCCGGGTTAGCAGAGAAGAGTGGGGAAGGAGTAAAAAGAGAGAAAGGGATTTCAAAAACTGAAAAGGCTCTTGAGCATCAGGCTCAGGATCAACATAAATTCCAGGTTGCCGGGAGATCTAGAGTAGACATCATCTCTTCTTATTTTTTAAAGATTTATTTTGATGTGAGTGTGTGTCTCTCTGTATGAATGTGCAACACATAAATGCATGCAGGGCCCACTGAGGCCAGAGGGAGCATTGAATCCTATGGAACTGGAGTTACGGATGGTTGTGTGTGCCATGTGGGTGCTGGGAAGCGAACCCAGGTCCTCTGCAAGAGCAGCAAGTGCTCTTAACCATTGAGGCATCTCTCCAGCGCCTTTTTTTTTCCAACCATAATTTATCTTTATTCTTGAGAATATCATGTATGTATGTATATGAAACAGGATCACATCCACCCCCACTTCCCTTCTCCAACTTCCCCTTTATTCTCCCAACCTGCCCTCTCCCAACTTTATGTCTTTTTTGTTAGGGTGGGAGATAACCTACTAAGTCCAGTTAGGAGCTTGGGTTTAAGGCCATCCAGTGGAATGTGGGAAACCTACCAGTGGCTATATCCTTAGTAAAGAATGACTTCCTCTCTCCCAGGAGCTATCCACTACCCGTGGTGACTCAGTGTGGAATGGAATCTGGACATGCCTCCCCCCATCACCACCTATGCCAGAATTTCAACTGGCATGACCTTGTGCAGGTAACTGCAGCTGTTGTGTGCTCATGAATTTATGATAGCCATTTCATATCCAGAAGATAACACTTCACTGAACTTCTCCACATCCTCTGGCTTTTACATTTTTTTTCTGCCTCATTTTGCAACATTCCCTGAGTTTTGGTGGCTGGGAGGAGGTTAATAAAGATGTCCCATATAGAGTTGAACACTCATGGACTCCATCTCCATCCTCGTGGTCCTACTGCAAGGGCATGGGTGCAGGACCGACAGAATTTGTGACCATTTGTACAATCTGTCAAAGCATCAAATTACTTTTAAACAAGCAGCATTTAGAAGCTGTGGACAAAACACACATTGCACTTGACTTTAGACATGTTGATAAATGTACCATAGCTTGAAAACATGAAGCTAGAATTGAGATCAGCCAATTGCTTAGTATTCAGATTGTATTTGAAAATATTGGACATCAGTAAGGAAGTGGGAGAAGAAAGAGGAGAATCTCAAGGGTACACTCTGGGGTGAGGGAACCTCCAACCTAACAGGTCCTGGAGAATAAATAAAAGTGGCAACAGAAGTTGAGGAAGAAGGAAAACAAAGAAGACAGGTATTGTCCATGTCTCATTCATCAGGAAGAATGTGTGAAATGCTGCTGATGGGTGAGGTGAAGTGAGAATTGAGTATAAACCATGACATCAGGACAGCAGGGCAGGGGAGGTTCTTGGAGGCTTGAATCAGGAAACTTGGGATGGAGGCTTGGACGAAGACCTCACTGGGAAATCTTTAAAAAGCAAAGAAAGAGAGGAATTGAGGGAAGAGAGGATAGACCATCATTATGAGGATTTTTGTCATAAAAAGAGGCAAAAAATGAGGAGCTCGTCAGGTAGATGAGGTACAAATAGCCAGTGGATATCAGTTTGTAGTAAGTAAGGCTGACAAGTAGACGATAAAAGACGACTCAGATCCGTGAAGCTACTCTGTGACAGCTAAGAGAAGGTGGGCATGGTGTGCAGAGCTCACCCAAACAAAACAAGAACAGAGGTGGCTGACGAGATGACTGCCACTGAAGAGAACTCAGACTGCTCCATGAACAGTGTGCAGAAAGCCTGGGGCCACCAGGCTTCCTACTCTCTACCTACGGTCTCTGACGTCCAGACGCACAAGGCAGGTTGAGAAGAGAGGATGCCTGGGGAGATAGTAACAGGTGAAAAGGCAAGAGTTCCAGCTACGGAATGTACAGGGCTAGGGATCATAGTTGAGACTAAGTCTGCCTGAGTGTGAATTTTACCTGGGCCTCGTTCAGGATATCTGATGCTGGACACATCATTTGGTTTCTCTAGACTTTGCTGTCTATCTACAAGCTGCTAATGCCAACAGGGTTATCTTCACCAGTTAATGCATGGGGTAATCCGTGCAGTGTGTCACTCCTGGAAGTTTCCAGGCTCCTTATAAGCACATATTAATAGCAATTACCAATTGTAAAAATACTTGCTTAGAGCTTGGGTCCATTCTTTTCTCTCTTCTTTTGTTGTTCTTAAATGAAAATTTGCATAACATAAAATTAACTATGTTAAAGTTTAGAGTTCAATAGCATTTCTACACCTACAATGGTGTACAACCACCACCTCTTACTCTAAAATATTATGATGATGTCAAGAGAAAGTCCGATTCCAGTTAAGCGTCATCTGCATTGTTCTCCCCTTGGCCCATGACAACTGGTTTGCTTCTTGTCTTTGTGGATTTACCCCTTCTGGATGTTTTGTTTGAATGGAATATTATAATCCATGATCTTTTGTGTCTGTTTTGTTTTTCCTTAAAGTGTTTTCAAAGCTCAGCCACAGGGAGGCATATACAGAGCCTCATTCCACTTTCGTAGTTGAGTTATGATAGTGTGCATTTGCCACATTGTGCTGCTCACCATTCACCAGCGAATAAGAGAGTAAGTGGTGTCCACATTGAACTACACGAATAGTACTCTATTCATACAAGTATTCAATTGCTGGGTCCTATGGTCTACTCCTTTGATAGCACAAAACAAGTTTACAGAGTATGTTTTTCCATTTGTTCATTCAATTGCAAAGTCTGACATCCTGGGGACCTTTCCTTTGCATCCTGGAACCTGGAACTCAATGTGTCTTAAATTCAATAGAAATGTTATCATCATTAGACATTGGTACTTGTGGGAGATATCAGTGTGTAGAATATGAGAAGAGATTGTGTAGCCTGCGGGGCATTTACCCACCAACCCCACAGTTCCCCGGAGTTTTCTTGAGTAAGAGCAGCAGGAAATACTAGATAGAAGGATGTAGATTGTGGAGATAAACAGACAGAAAATACAGGATAGCCTCGAGAGGGCCTGGAACCTGTTCCAATGATCCCTGACTGTCTCTGCCCTTAGGGTATTTATAGAAATGCCAAGCGGTGGAGCAAAAGACCTCCTCCCCCCCCTGAGCACAGCCAAGTGCAGACCATCTCAGACACCTGCACTCAAGACCATGGTACAATCATCCTCTCTATGCAGACCTGCTGGGTAAAGCCACGAGGAACCTGAAAACGGGCTCCCACAGTGGCCATTGTATCTCAGACCCTGACCCATTGTACAGTTCCCTGAACCACATGAAAAGAATGAAATGTTTGTATATCTTCCATCATGGTACCTACATACACACATACAAACACGCTGTCTTAGCTGGTTTTCCATTGCTATAAAGAGACACCATGACCAAGGCATCTTACAGAAGCAATAGTTCATTGGGGGCATGGCAGCAGGCAGGCATGGCACTGGAGTAGTAACTGAGAGCTTACTTGTCGAAACAACAACCATGAGGTAGAGAGAAATAGCTAACGAGAATGGCGTGGACTTTTGAAACCTCAAAGGCTACCTCCAGTGGACACAACTCCTCCAAAAAAGCCACACCCCTCATCCTCCCCCCAAACAATAACCAACTGAGGATTGAGCATTCAAATATCTGAGCCTATGGGGACATTCTCATTCAAACCACCACACAAGCCCACCCACATACACTTAAGACATGAGTCTTAGAAAATCACTTACAAAGTGTAATAAATACTTAGTGTGAGGATTGCATAATTCCCTTAAGTAGGAATTACCACTTTGAGACATATTAATTTCTTCCCAGAAGTGGGACGGGGCATTCCCCCTTGTATCTCTCCATATGCCTTTCCCCTAATTTCTGCTACGTGACTTAGTTTGTAGGAGAAATTAGGGAATGTGGCCCTAAAGTTAAAAGTGTTTTCCAATGTTTCAAAATGCAAATACCATTCTTAGCTCACAGGCTGTTCAAAACAGAGGAAAGAGCCAATTTTAACTGGTGGGTGATTCCTAGAGAAATCCTTACGTATCCCATATCATATTTCTTAGCATTTAAGCATCTGTGCTAGCCTGCTCTCAGGGTCTGGACAGGATAGATCCTCAGCTGCAGCCACTGAGAGCACCCCCTGTGCTCATTCTCTAGGTTTCTTTATAAAAGGCGGGCCTTGCCCACCTGCTGTCTCTCTTTTTCTCTTCCTTCACTCTCAGGGACTGGTATCTGTCCCCTTCTCTGCCCCTTCTCTCCCCTCCCCTCAATAAACCTCCCAAGTGGGCCCTATTATATGGTTTAACTCCTTCATGCCATTTTAAAAATACAACATTTGTTGCTGTGACTTGGATAGGCTCTCTCGGCAGTCTGAGATGTGCCGGGACCCTGGAAGCTGATCTGCCTGTGACAGCCCTACTTCCCCACCTAATGGATCACTGGGACTCTCCATCCAACACCAACGATTGGTGAGCACCCCCACCCCTTCCTCATTTATGGCCATTTCCCACAAGTGAGGCTTTGTTTCCCTAGCATAATCCTTGCCTTCTGGCTTTTCTCGAAGTCCTGGGACCAGGCTACTGTGTCTCCTCTGGGCTCTCAGCCCAACGGCCCCTGCTTTTTTGGATGACAGTACATTGAGCAGCCTGTGCCTCCTCATCGGTCCTCGCTGAATTTCCGGGACACTAGAAATTCCAGCCCTTGGACCTTCTCTATCTCACTCATAGAAAATGCACCTACCTCCATATCTAGCACCTGGTTTAAGGGCTTAACTTACCCGCCTTTGCGGTCAGACTTGGTCCCATACTCCTTAGATGCCAATCAAAATGGCCGCTTACCAGCGCCCCATATCCCAGTATTTCACGGGACCTTTGCAACTTCTGCCTGCGATCCGATAGATGGAAGGGGGTACCCTGTTTTCAAGCTTTTCCCAAGCCCTTTTGTTTTTCCTTCCTGCTCTACTCAGCTCCTGCTGGCTACAAAGCTTGCAGCTGTGCCTCCCTGTTAAGCTGCATTTCCCCTACTCAGCCTCTGCCAAAGCAGTTACATCATCACCTGTCTCCAGGCCCTTTTCCACAGCACGTGCACCCTTTAAAAGCGCCCGCCAGGCAGAGCTCTTTCTCTTTGCCTCGTCTCTTGCCTCTTCCTCCTCTCCTTGCCTCTCATTCCCTCTCTTGCCTCCTCTTCTCTCTCCTGCTTCTCTTCCTCTTGTCTGCCTGCCTCTCTCAAGTCCCCACTCCGATGCAGCCTTTCACTGTTTCAATCTTCCGCTCTCCCCCTCCCAAGAAGCCTCTTACATTAACTCTGTTGTGTGTGGCATGTTTGCTTAGCGGCATACCCTGGCAGGGCCTGCCAAAGGGTACCCACTTCAGGCTAGGACCTTATCTGCCTGCTCCACCCACAATGGATCTGCTCTTTTCCACCTGCAACAAATCTGCTTTCTCATTCACTGACAGCTTCGCCTTCCATTCAGCACCAACAATTGGGTCTCTGGTGGGGCTGCCTGCCTCTGACCTGGATGTGAGATTGGCCTCAGTATTCCTTGGACCAGGCAGTCGAGGAATCGAGAAAGAATTCTCCACTTTCTTTTTTTTTTCTCTGCTCCAAGACCTGCTTGTGTCTGTCTTCTCTCTCTCTCTCTCTCTCTCTCTCTCTCTCTCTCTCTCTCTCTCTCTCTCTCTCTCTCTCTCTCTCTCTCTCTGTCTCTCTCTCTGTCTCTCTCTGTCTGTCTCTCTGTCTCTCTGTCTCTCTCTCTGTCTCTCTCTCTCTCTCTCTCTCTCTCTCTCTCTCTCTCTCTCTCTCTCTCTCTCTGTCTCTCTGTCTCTGTCTCTCCTGTCTAGATCTGCTGCAATGTGGGAGTCAGAGATGGAGAAGCCAGCTTTGTCTTGCTTACACCGGTGTTTTTCCTTTCTTTTAATTTATTCAACTCCTGTTTAATGTGTGTTTGTGTGTGTGTGTATGTGTGTGTGACACTTGGATTTAACCCTATATGTGTAAATGTAAGCTGGGCTTAATTCTGTGTGAATGTATGTATAATGAACTCAACTCTGTGTATATGTGCATATAACTATTGTTTAGAAAAACATGCTTTAAACAGCAACCACGTGGCTCTTCATCTCAGATAGTGACCTCATTATGATGTAAACTGGACTCTTGTATGATGATAAAAATGTAAAGGTATACGTGATTCAACTCTGGTTTAGAATATACTCTATATGGTGATAAAAATTTAAGGTTATAAAGGTCTATTCAGATTTTTAAAAAGCTGACTCAGAGATTTACACCTAAGTACTTATGTATGTATTCTATAATGGAGGTCCTGGTCCTCTGAGAGGGTCCTTTTCCCAGGGTTGGGCTTTTGGGCAGAGGCCCCCACAGCTTGTCCAGGGCACTGCTGGCCTCTGCTCCCACACTCCTGCCCACAGCCCCTTTTCTCCTGCCCCCATTTGGATCTGGGGATCTTCCCCCCGTCACTTTTCCTTGCCTTCTCAGGAGACAGCCGTACCAGTTTGGTACAAACCTGTTCTGTTTTCACCCATGGGATGGCTATTTTGGTTCCTTTACCAGATCAAAAAAAGAGATAAGCTCACAGAACAGATTTCAATGTCACTTTTTACTATTGACCGCCTTTCATAATCATCTCCTGGTGAATCTGATAACAAGAGGGTGTCAAGGTGATACTGTGGTGTTGGGAAAGAACCAGGGGCTTTAGGGTTTGTTTATGTGAAGACAGGAAAGCTTAAGTGCTGATAAGGAGAAAGTGATTTGAGGTGTATAAAAGAACGAAACAGGTTCCAGACTTCTCTCTCTCTTGCTTTGTTACTGTTCACAAACTTGGCATTAATTGACGGGATTCTGATAAGCTTTTAGTCGAGCTCTGACACAGTACTAAATACTGTACTCCACCACTCCAGCATCCTAGCCACAAGTTCAGGATTTTAAATTCCCTTCGGTTGCTATCTAATGTGTCTAAAACTTCTCTCTTTTTGTAAACTCCAAGTTCTTGTGAGCTCCAGGGAGTCAACTTGTCCACCTCGAACAACATCTTGCCAGGTCTAAGTGGTGCCGGACAGTTCCACAGAGCCTGGACAGCGAAGTGAAAAAGCCAGCTACCCCAGGACATGGTCAGCACCCTAGTTTTCTCAGGTTCCCCAAAGATGATCGATGCCTCCCCAGGCCAGCAGGAAGCAGTCTCAAAAACACAGCACCCTTGTCCCCACCTCTTTCTAGCTCCTCACCTCTTTATAATAAAGAAAAGGGAGGTGTGTCAGCATTTAAGCATCTGCACTGGCCCGCCCTTGGGACCTGACAGGATGTAACTTAGTGGCTGTGGCCACTAAGAGCACCCTCTGTGAGTATTTGCTGTGTTTCCTTGTAAAAGGTGGGCCTTGTACACCTCCCATCTCTTTTTCTCTTCCTTCACTCCCTCCCCAGGGATAGATGTCTGCCTCCTTCTCTACCCCTTCTCTACCCTCCCCTCAATAAACCTCCTACGTGGGCCCTGTTGTATGGTGTGACTCCTTCGTGCCATTTTAAAAATACAATAATATTTAAAAGAGGTACAATTTCAGGATGAACTTATATATATATATGCATATATATATGTATCTATATATTTGCAAAGTGATAAGTGTATGTACATTTTCATAAGCAGAAAATTACCTCAGATGTACTTGTTGGGAAAGTGTGTATGGGTTACAAACTGCAAAGCACCTGAACACTGGTATAAACTGTACATGCTAGGACAACAGGTGAACACAGGCTCTACTGAGGGATTTACCTGACTTCAAAGTCTTATGAGTAGGAATCATTATGAAAGAATCAAATTCCATCCACTAATATGAGGACAGAGGGAGGAGTCAGGCATCTTTGAGTGACAGATGAGAATGAGTCCCAAGAGGACAGAACAGAATGAAAGGGAAGACAGGCCTGTAGGTCTCCGGTATCTAGGACAGACTGAGTGGAGAGGAAGTTCAGGTCCATCACGGAGCCAAGGAGCCAGAGTCAGGAGAAGTCCCTTGAGTCAGGGAATGGAGAAACAAATGAGGTATCAACAACAAAGGCTGGTTTGTTGTGATTACACTGAAAGTTAGAAAGTCCTGTGGCTTTCTTACATTCTTTTCCTAAAATTAGATGGAAAGACTAACTAACCTATTGACCCACAAGAGACCTTGAAATGTCTCTTCCTGGGATGGTTTTGTTTTCCTTAGTCCCCCTGGATGCCAGCTCCTCTGTGGGCTACCTCCTGGGACCATTTGTAGCTCCTGAGCTGAAAAGTGGCTCTGAGTGTGAGGTCCCTCCTCTGTAATTCAAGCCCGTGTCCACTGATATGCTCTCCCACAAAACTGATGAAAACCTGGCATCCGCTGACCACACCAGGATTTCTCACTCCCCTAAAGATGGTCAATGAACCCCCCTGAGCCTGTTTTTCTCTCAGATAATATCTCCCAACCCTTGAGACTTCTATCATGGAACTGCCATCCTCTCAAACACCTTTGAGAGGTCTCTGGTTTCTCTACCTCAATTTAACAGCAGAAACAGACAAAAAAAATGTGCTTATTGGTGACATTTCGGCTAAGGGCCACACTTGTCGAAAGAATACAGGAAAGGAGCGAGTCCCTTCAATTCCCCATGCTTCTCAGGCTCAAGCTGCGTTTTCTTTTCTATATTCCCCCAGAACCATGTCTCTGAAGAATGTTCACTCGGTTAATAGTCCTCCCATGCAAGTCACTGTGTCAGTAAGCCTGTACCTTGTAACCATCTAAACAGCAGCAACGCTAACAGCACTGTCTAATGTCGCTGCTCTGTGTGCACAGCTGACAACTGTCCCACGTGGACCTCCATTTTCTGCACTTTACAGTGAAGAGCTTACTTGGAGAAGCATGGGAACTTGCCTGGTACGTGCCTGTGTATGAGTGGTGACACCTGGCTTGCGATCGATGCTGGATCTCTGGGTTCACTCTTGAATGCCATGTCGTTTTCTCAGTCTCGCTTGTGGATTGCAATTAACAGCACCTGCATTTGTCAGCTCAAGCCACTATAACGAAAGGACCGTAAACTAGATGGCATCAATGCAGACATTTCTCTCTCTCTCTCAGTTCTGGGGACTGAGTCCAAGGTAGATATGGTAGATATGGAGTCTCCTGAGGGTGTCTTTCCTGATGTGTGAATGGAAGCCTAGTCTCCTTGTTGTATATGGAACGATACAGAGAATGTCCCTTGCAGTAGCAATTCAGTGGCTTTCATCTAATATCCAGTCATCCCAGAATGTAGCTAAGATACCAAGACTTTTGAACTGATTGTGGATCAGGAATGTCAACCATTCCCCTGCACAAATTGCTTTCAATAAGCATGTCCATTATGTAAGCCTGAAGAAGCTTTAAGACTTAGGAATGAGGTAGCAAATGCTTTGCTATTGTTCTGGGAGGATGTAGGCCCTGATATCCTCCTCTGGGAGGGATACACCCTGACTTGAATGGAAGGAAAACCCACAGTCCCCAGGCACACATTCTAAGAGCTTGTAAACGATTCTACTTTGTGGGATTTACAGAGGCAAGTTTTAGAATAGAACATAGACACTAAATCTTTTAATAAAATTGCTAGTGTGAAAAGAGGGGCCATCACCAAGGAAGACAAGCAGATAGGCAGGCACTCTTGGAGGTTATCAGTTGGCAAAGGCATCCAGGAAACACAATGCAAAGCATTCCTGGCTCCTTGAAATGGGCCCCATTTGTCTGCAGGGTTCCATACAGAGAAGGCCTGGGATCTCTTCCTGGCTTTACAAGTTCAACACCAAGTCATGACTGCTTTTGTAGTTTTTGTGTGTCTTTGTCCTGTCCAAAGGACATGTTGAAACTTCATGCCCTGTGGGATAGTCTTGAGATGGGGACCTAATGGAGGTGTTTGGGTTATGCCAACAGAGTCATTTCTAGCCCATTTTACGACAGAGTAATGCTACTAGAGGGTTTGTGGGAGTGCAGTAGTTGGCTTGTGCTCTCCCACCATAGAGGACAGGCACGACAGATCACCTCACCTCTCCCACAGTGCTTACGGTATGATGCTGAGGAAGCTGCTGAGCTGCCCTGACTTCTATTCCCTTACGGGACATTGCCATCTCAGAAACACAATTCAAAAAACTATATCATTCATTTTGCATTTTCCATTAGTCACATTTTTTAAAAGTAAAAAAGAAGTGGATAAAAATTCAATTTCCCAGGACTAGAGTATATTTCAGTGGCAGAGGGAATGCTCAACATACACAAGATAAGGCCTTGTGGGTTTTTTTGTTAAAAATTATTAATTGGGGGGGATATGTACCTACTATAGCATAAATGTAGTGGTTACAAGACAACTTGCAGGAGTCAATTCTCTCCTTCTACCATTTGGATCCTAGAAATCAAACTTAAGTGACCAAGCATGGCAGCAGATAATAATTTTGGTAACATATTTTATTTTATACAATATATGCAAAAGAATAGTCATTTCCATGTACAACTAATAAAAAATACATTGACATATTTTACACTATTTCTGTCATCACATCCTTTTTTAATAGTTTTTTTTAAATAAAACCTCCAGCTTGGTATGCATGTTACAGAAGACAGCACATCTCCATGTCTTACAGGCTCATTCACTACATGTGGCCAGCAGCTCCCATGTCAGACACACCTAACTCTTAGAAAACATTGATCCTAAGGTGCCTTTTGGGAATGAGGACAATGGGAAGGACAAAAGGTTGGATGTCACTGTTCCATTCATGAAGATTTAATCCACAGCAGTACATGATAATTATTGCTATAATAAAGGGTCAGAACCAGGAAGACGAGTGTCAAGAGGGCATGTCCATGAAAAGCTCCTGAAGGAGCTTATGAGTGATTAAGTAACATGGCTTCCATGTAGAGAAATTAAATTGATTCTCCTTTGTAAACAAAGCATTATTTGCTGTGATGATTTGAAAGAAAATGGCCCTCAAAGAGAGTTGAACTATTAGGAGGTGTGATTTTGTTGGAGGAAGTGTGTCACTATGAAGGCAGACTTTGAGGTCTCACATGCTCAAGCCATGCCCAGTGAGACAATTCACTTCCTGTTGTCTATAGATCAAGATGCAGAATTCTCAGCTCCTTCTCCAGCACCATGTCTGCCTGCATGCTACCATGTTCCATCATAATGATAATGGACTAAAGCTCTGAACTGTAAGCCACCCCAAATAAATGATTTTCTTTATAATAGTTGCCATGGTCATGGTGTCTCTTCACAGCAATAGAAACCCTAACTAAGACATTGGGTCTTTTTGAGTTCTTCCAATAGCACTTTGTAACGTAGGAAAACTGTATACAAGAATGTTCATAGCTGATATTATTTATAAAAGCCAACCACTGGAAGCAACCCAATGTCTTTCAGAGGGTAAATGAAAAATCCATACCATGAACTATAACTCAGCAATAAAACAAAAAGAACTATTGAGATATTGAGCAACTCGGGTAGGCTAAAGGATTATGGGTAAAAGCAAGCCCATCTCAAGAATGTGACTCCATTTGTACAACACATTCAAAATAAAATCATAGAGAAAAAAATCAGTGATTGCCATGTGCTCACACTGTGGGGAAGCTGGGTGTGTGTGCACAAGGGTAGCATGAGACAGCCAGGTAGTGAAAGTGGTCTTAGAGTTACTATCAATATGATGACACACCATGACCAAAGCAACTTGGGGAGGAAAGGGTTTATTTGACTTATACTTCCACACTGTAGCCTATAATTAAAGGAAGTCAGAACAGGAACTCCTAGAGGCAGGGGCTGATGCAGAGGCCATGAAAGAGTCCTGCTTACTGGCTTGCTCCCCTTGGCTTGCTCAGCCTACTTTCATATAGAACTCAGGACCACCAGCCCACGGATGGTACCACCCACCATGGGCTGGACCCTCCTCCATGAGTCATTAATTAAGAAAACGTCCTATCGGCCTGCCTATAGCCCAATCTTATTGAGGCATTTTTTCAACTGAGGCTGCCTCCTCTCCAGTGACTCTAGCCTGTGTCAAGTTTACATAAAACTAGCTAGCACAGCAGTCTTGTGGACTTAGGTCCTGGTTTTGGCTGTGTACTGATTGTGCGATGCATGACCACTGAAAACAGTTAGATGAAAGGTTGTTGACCTCTCTACCCATTTTTCCTTTTTATTTCTTGCACCTTCCTATGACTCTATCATTCTTTCACTTTACAAAAGAAAAAATATATGCACAAAGAAAGGCCCTTTAGGAAGGGTAAGAGCTGCCTTGAACAGTCAGGCCCTGCAAGGAGCCACTCCAATGGGGAGCCAAGATCAGGTTCCTCAGGAGGCAAAGGAAAAAGGCAAATTGGCCCATCGTCTATCTATGAACTTAGGATCAATGCAGGAGTGTAGGAAGAAAAAGATGGACTTTGTCTAAAGCAAAGCAGCTCAGGTCCC